TTTGTTTAGAGGAGTTTTTCAAAGATGAGAATTTTAAAGTTGTTGAGTCACTATTTAGAGGAGCTTTTTCAGATAAATTTTTAAAATTGTTGAGCCTCTGCTTAAATAAACTTTTCCAAGATGATGAATTTTAAAGTTATTGAGCCTTTGCTTAGAGGAGCTTTTTTAAGATGAATTTTTAAAGTTGTTTAGCCTCTGTTTAGAGAAGCTTTTCCAAGATGATGAATTTTAAAGTTGTTGAGCCTTTGCTTAGAGAAGCTTTCCTAAGATGATGAATTTTAAAGTTGTTGAGCTTTTGCTTAGAGAAGCTTTCCCAAGATGATGAATTTTAAAATTATTGAGCCTTTGATTAAAGAAGCTTTTTAATTTTTTTTAAAAATAGTTTTATGCTCAATGTTTCTTTTTTTTTTAATAAAATAGTTGTCTGTTTGTCTTTGCCTTATTCTTGATTCTCAAAAATAGGCAAAGTGGGACAGCTATAAACGTCATTTTATTATTTTTATTTATTTATTTATTTTTATTCTTTTTTTTTCCTTTCTCTTTCTTTCTTTTTCTAGCAGTGGTTCTGACAGTCGCTTTCAAGTTGCCAGTGGCTCTGGCAGCCACCGGCAGCTATTCTGACAGTCGATGGCCGTCTTAATCATAAGCAATCAAAATTTTAAATTTTTTGAGATTTTGATATTCCTTTTTGCTCTATAAATAGAGTTGTAAAAACACCAACAAGGAGAAAAGAAAAAGAGAAGCCCATAAACTTTACAAAAAAAAAGATAAAAAAAACTGTCACTGCTAGATAAAAAAAAAACTTCTTATGAAAAAAATCAAACACCAAAATACAAGCAAACAAATAGTCCCTAAAACAGAAACCACAGCACCAATCTACAAAAAAAAAAACCACAGAAACAAGAAAAGCTAGTTTGGCCAAAACCTTTTAGGCTATATCTTTGCTATTTGGAGCTTTTTTTTTTTTGTAAAACTAGGCTCGGATCTAGACTCACATTCATTTTGGAGATTTTGGTTTTTTCGGCAACCACCGACGATAGTCGGCACGACGAAGCAGTCGTTGGTTTTGGGTTTTAGAGAGTGAAGAAGAGTGTCTGAGAGGAAGAAAGAGAAAGAGAAAGAGGAAGAAGAAAACAAAAAAGAAGAAGCTTATTTGGCCTTTAAATAAGCCTTTAAAATGACATCGTTTAGGAAAGAAGCAAAATGATGCCGTTTTGACCCCAGAGGATCTGCGTGTCAACCCACAACCTGATCCGAGATCCGCGCACCTAACCCGATAACTCGTTATCTTTGGCCCCTGACAGGTCCAACTGAATCGGCTCAGACCAGTGTTGAACCGTCGATCTAATTAGATTGAACTGAGTCACCAAATCGATTGGACCTACGTCGATCGAATTGTTGACCAGTCCGGTTCAAGTAAAAAAAATTTTTTTAAAATTTTTTTTAATTTTTTTAAATATTATTTTTATAATATTTATGCATACTAAAATATTTAAATTTTTTAGAATAATATTTTATGTAGTTAAAATTTTATAATTTTGTTAATTTTAAAATAAAATTTTAAATACTAAAAAATAAACTTTTAATAATAATACAATTAATAAAAAAATATATAAGAAAATAAAAATTTTATCCAACGATGAGATTCAGAGGTACTCCGAGTAGTGATACCTACGAGATTTTTAGATGAGAAATTTTTTTTAAATACTGTCAGTGTATTTGAGTATTTATTAAAATTTTTTTAATACAATAAAAATTTTCTTTTGTTATAAAATAGTAAATAATAATTAACTAATAAATTAAGAATAAATAACAAAAATGAGAAAAAAAGAAAATTTTATCTGATAATAGGATTCTAAAAGTATTTCAAGTCGAGATACTTTAAGAAATCCCTATGTGAGAAGATTTTTTTAAATATTACCAGTATATTGAAATATTTATAAAAAATCTTCAATATAATAAAAATTCCTTTTTCTTCAAAGTTTTAAATAAAAAAGAAATCAAACAAAATTAATAATTTTTTTTAAAAAATAAAATACTTGCATCAGCATATCAGCATTTTGCATTACATGCTTAATAAAGTTTTTGTGAAAAGTAAATTCGAGCATCCGAGAATGAGATTTCTAAGGTATTCTGAGAACCGATGCCTAAGAAATTTTTAGGTGAAAAAGAATTCTTATAATGTTACCAACGTACTGAAACATTTTAAGAATTATTTCAATAATAAGATTTTAATTTATTTTTCTCAAATAAAATTTGAGCACTAAATAAAATTAAATAAAAAACAATTTCCAACAAATGAAAAAAATGAAAAAAATTATTTTTCAAACACCAAAAATAAAACTATTTTTAATCAAAATCAAAGGATAACACATAGTTAAGTGGTACCGTTTTAAACGAGCATTATGGGGGTGCTAATCCTTCCTCGCGTATAATCGACTCTTGAATCTAGACTGTTTCATAGATCATAAAATTATTTTTTTAATAAATTTTAATATTTTATTAAAAAGATAAATTTAATAGGTGACCAATTGCACCTAGTAAAAAAAGATTGATAACGACTCCGTTATGTTTTTATTTCGTTTCCAAATTCGTCTAACGAACATAAAACCATTACGACAATGATTTTTAAAAAGTTAAAGGAAAATCATCACTTATAATTTCCTCTTAATTTTATTATTGATGAAAATTTTAATTTACTTAGTAATATTTATTGATTGTTTATTTTATTATTGAAGTAAAATTTATTAGTTGAACTCCCAAAACATTTTTGATTTTTTCGAACTATTTTGAAAAAATCTTTTATTTAAGAAATTTTGATAAAGTCATCACTCATGACTTTTAGTCTTGTAAAATTTTATTTATTTCCATAATTTAAACATTTTATAATTTATTTTTTTATTGAAAAGATTTTCAAATAATTTTACCAACACTTTTGGCAAAATTTTGAAAAGAATAATTTAAGAATCACTACTTGTGATCTTATTATTATTCATGCTAATTTTTGTTTAAAAAATTCTAAAATATTTCTAATTATTTTAGAAAATTTCTTTGTATGAATATTTTTTTAATAAAAAACCACTTGTGACTATTTTTTTAGTTAATAATATTTTTTGGTGTTTTAAAATATTATTTTAAAATATTTCTAACAATTTTAGAATATTTTAAAAAATTTCTTTGTGTAAATATTTTTTAACAAAATTACCACTTGTGATTTTAATTTTAATTTTTATCATGTTTTATTTATTTTTCATTATTTTTTTATTATATATATTTTTTTATTCTTGTTCATTAAAATTTTAATATGTTTATGTTTAGCAATTATTTTAAATTAATTAAATTAAAACTATTTAATATCTTCTACCATTAATTTATTTTTATATGAAAATTTGATACAAAAATAAAATAAAAATAATAAAAAAATCATAAACTAAATAATTGAAATATATAAAAAAAATTAAGTGAAAAAAAATAAAAAATAAAAAGTTATGGTGAAAATACCTGAAATACACATAGTCAACACTTGGTCAAAAAGGTTTAGCAGGTCGGTCGATCGGTTTAGTGTTTCCTTGGCGATTCAATGGTTCAATGTCGGTTCAAGTAAGCCGATCAAAGTTAGCAGTAAGTCGAGTCGGGTGCATGGATCTAGGGTTAGATCCGGGTTGACCCACAGATCCTCTAGGTCCTAAATGACGTCGTTTTGTAAATTTTTTTTTGACAACACTATAAAATGCTTAATTTTTTTATTTTATTTTTTTTGCTTCTTCCTATTTAAGAGAGAGCTTATCTTTCTAGAAAGAAACCAACCCCCTGGAAAAACCCTAAACCCAGAATTTGATCGTTCAACACTGTGTCAGTCGCTATCGACAATCGTTAGCCATCGTTACTAATGACTAAAAAATTTTTAAAAAATCATATTGATTTTTTCCTTCGCTTTAAACATAGATCCAACCTTCAGTTTGTGAAAAAAAAAATCCCAGTAGGTGTAGATTGGACTTTGAAGTTTTGGCCAATTTTTTTTTTGATTTTTTGTGTTTTTTTTTTAACGCTATTGGCCTTCGTTTCCAAGGATTTTATTTTTGGGTTTGTGTTGCTATTTTCTTTTTTTTTTTTAGTTTTCTTTGCTTTTAACAAAGGTTTTTTTTTTGTTTTTTTTATTCGACGTGTTGATTTTTTTTCATTGGTTTTATCATTTCTCAGTAAGCCTTTTTTTTTTGTTTTCTTCTTTTTGCAGGGTTTTCCTTTGATGGATCCTTTCCTACTTTTTATGGCTCTATTTATAAAGCTAGATCAAAATCAAAATCCCATATTTTTTGGGATTTTGTTGAACTTTGGCCGTCTAGGATTAGGGTGACTGTTGGAGCAACGACCGACGTTTGTTAGAGTTGCTGCCTGTTGTCAGGGTGATTGTCGGTGGCAAGTAAAAAAGATGCCAAAAAAAAAAAGAAAAAAAAAGAAAAAAAGAGAATAATAAAATAATAAATAATAAAAATAAAAATAAATACAAAATGAGTGTCTACAATGATTTTTTTATCCTCAATTTAAATTTGAAGTTCAAAATCATATACTTTTAATTCAAAAAAATTAATAAAGATATAATAATCATTTTATATTTTAAAAATTTTAGTTTTTTCTTTTCCCTTCCTTTTCCCTCAATTTGAGATAATTAAAAAATGAAGAAAGTTGAATGAAACCAAAGGAAGCTAAGTATACTTTCCTTTTCTTTATTTTTATTTATGTCATACATAAACAAGGAAAAGGATTCCGCATTTCCTTTTGTTTCCTTTCTATTCCTTTCTTTTCTCTCCCCTTACCTTAATCCAAACAGAGGCTAAAAGTTTATCCAAACAAAGAAAATATTTTTTTGTTTTCATTACTTTCCTTTATTTTACTTCCTTTCCTTTCCTTCCTCTCAATCCAGATTTAGTGTAAAATCATTGATAGAAAAATTTTTTCAGTGGAAATTAGAAAGACCAAAGAAGATGCCAACATGACACAGCATGATTCTCAAGTCCATCAAAGTTCCTTCGGCATTACAATAACATAAGTGCGACATGCACAATATGGATATAATGTTTTAGAAATTGGAATGCTTCAAGCCCTATCTGATTCTTTACACTTTTAGAAGACAATCAGTTTACATCTTTATGGAAAAATGGAAAAGAAAATTTATCGACATTCTTCAGTTTCCCAGTATAAAGGTAACAAACGAGTGGAAATTACAACCCCAGGGTTCCTCCAACAACAAGTCAGTGATCAAACTGTCCCCAATGTAGTGTTCCTAGAAGTAATTTGTCGTCCACTAGAAAAGATCAAGGAAGAACAAGCACTACCTGTACACATGCAGTTCTGACTGACCATCAAAACTAGGATCCCACCACTGGTGAATTCCATGAGCTCGTTTGAAATCTGGAGACTGACTCAAATTAATGGTGAGATTGGCTGAAGGAAGCAGATGCAGAGGTTCTGAATCGCTCTTCAGTGAACCTGACAATAAACTCACTATAGAATTCTGTGTTGCAATCCTCTCAATTTTTCCAGCCCCAATCTCCTCCATCTTCTTCCGGTGTTCAAAATAGCCAATATACCCACAGCATATAGGATCTGCAGGATTAACAAATAGGTATGGTATCCATGCAGAGAGTAAGACAAATGGATCATCTTGCTGAGGCCTGTGATGACAACTCTTTACAGCAACAGCAAGTCCAGCTTTGACTATGCTGCTTGTAAAGCGAATCCCATGCTTCAGCTTTTCGTTCTTGATTATTTCTACCGGGACAGAGAAGAATGGGGGATTGAAGAGGTAAGTTTCAACCCTATAACCCATCTTAGTCACGTTCTTCCCAGCAAGCAATGAAATAGCTGACCCCAGCGAATGGCCAGCTAACCAAATACTTGAAGTTCCAGCAACAGTAACTATACTCTGCACAGCCTGAATTGCAAGCTGAAATCGAGAGCTTTCATGAAGCCTATTGCGGAGGCACAGGAGATCCAACTTGAGATCACGAGACCTGGTATTGGACTTATTTACAGTACCCCGAAAGGCAATAACATAATTTGGAGCATTTTGACCTGAATGGTTGTATTTGCAAGTAAAAGACTGGAATTCATAAATGGCACCAAAAATGGAGTTATCAACATCATCTACAAGAAGACGGATCAATTGGAAATTGAAGAAGTTCCACCAAGGTGGTGCATTAGCTTGGATTTTTTGGCGGTTCTGTTGCCGATCACGTTCTAGAATGTACACTCCCTGAACCAAGCTTGCAGCAACAGATCTTCGGTCATGAAAGTTATTCCTATCAAAGAAACAGAAATAACCTCTTACATCTACTATCCAATGCCTTGAATGGAACAATTATTTTTTTCTTTTAAATACTGTTAAAAACTAATAAGGAATCAATCCAAAGTCATGCTAGCTGAGTATTATACAGGTTAAACTTCTGCCACAGGTATAATGCTTATTCATAATTACATGTTTCAAAGGTCGTGGTTAAAGCATGTATTCTACTGCAGCTTTGGCTGCTGACTTCACTGACTTCGCCCCTAAGGGATTCTGTGCACCAGCAAATCCTCTGAATTTTTATCTTGCTTTAGAGAAAGTAGAATGGTAACCAAACCATTAAGGTAACTAGCCCTAATGTTAGACAAAAGCCTTTTGGGGTTGAATTTTATTTTTTTCATACTATTCATAATAATTTTATCAGCATGATTTCAGTCATTAGAGACAAGGGCTTTCAGCTCAGGGTTAACTACTATCAGATATTTTGTACTAAATTTAAGGTATGTCCACTTCATTTTCAACATCATAGGTTAGTCTGTTAACAATTTGAGAATGCTGATTCACAGAACTCTTGTGCATTAAGATCTTTTTTTATATTAGTCTCCTTGATAAATTCCAGGAGTCTGATATTCCTACACCTCCAAGTTTATCAATTGCCTTATGCCCTTGTATCGTGCAATGTTGTTCAGAGCAAAATTAAAATGTAATCACATTAGAATTCTTAATAAAGTAACTCCCTCTCTGTGAAAGAAAGGCGTTTACCAGTCAACCGCAGTTAGATGTAAAGGTCCTGACAGGCAGAAAATTTCTCTTTTAGAGACCGGCTTCTCCTTCTCTTCCATATAACCTCAACAAGGGAAATACAATGCTACATAGTAAAGGAAGATTCCCATGATTAATTGAGTATGGAGACCAATTTATGCATGAATTTTATACAGACGGTTAAGTATCATGAAAAGTTTTCTAATTTTCTTTTCTTCATGCATGTTTTTCTTCGAATTTTAAAAAGAAAATCCAATCTTGATTTCCTTAGACAAGTTTCTAAAAACCCAATCTTGATTTCCTTTGATCAGTTTCTGTTTCTGTTTCTTTTTCTTGTAAAATTCAAAGAAAACATAAAAAAAAAAAAAAAACTCAATTGAAAATCATTATATTGATGATTCTCAATCTTAAAACCTACGCTGGTTGACATCAAAAGAACATTATCCCAAAACATTAAAGAGAGAGCAAGAAATTCAAGAATTTGATGGAAATCAATTTACCTCAATGTAAATCAATGGAGACTTCCAAATTCACCCATTTCACCTTTTTTTTTCTTTTTCTCTGCTCTTTTTTCCCTTGAGAGGAAAGAGAGAGAGCTGGCAAAGAAGCGGCCTTCGATAGAGTGGCGTTAACGATGGACAAATACAAGTTGCCAAAATTTCCCTTTCTTCTTCCATTCCTATTATTATTATTATTATTGTTTTGACAAATATAATAATAAGATATATTTTTGATACTCAGTATAATTTTTTAATTTTATAAGTGAATTAAAAATTAATTATTTTCAGTTTTGATAATTTTAAATACAATAAAATGATAAATATGAAAATGATATAAAAATATAAAAATAATATAATTTTAAAATTTTAGTAAAAATTATACATTAATTTGATAAAAAACTAAAATATTTTATTTATATTTAATATATTGACATGAATAATAAAAGTGTTAAATGAGTTGTGCTGAGCCAACATTGACTTAGTAAAAATAGTCAATGTGTTAATGAGATATGTTGATTGAGTATTATTATTCAACGTGTCGTGTTGATTTGATCAATGAAAACTGAAAGAATGACCTCCGGCTTTTATAGGTCGTGCCATGCCTAGCATGACATTATCTTTCGTGTCGTACAGGGCAAGTACAACTCATTAAAATATTTTTAAATTTTTATCATTTTTAAAATTTTTTTTAATTATTTTTAAAAATTAATGTATGAAATCAATATGCGATGCACATTATTCATATCATTTAATAAAATATTTATATTTATTAATAAAAACTAAAAGAATTTATTAAAATAATATATGAAAATTAAAAAATACAAATATTACATATCTAAATTAAAAATATATATATATCACATTGTTATTTATTTTTCATTTTCACCGTATGATGATTTATTTATATAATGTATTTTATCTTATTTTAAGTTTTTCTCTAATCAATTTTTAACTAATATATATTTCATAGTTTTTTTAGAAAATGATAAATCAAAACGAAAAAAATTATAATTTTATTTATTAATAATTTAAATATTTTATAAGTAGATTTATTGATACAATTTAATTTCTATAAACTACTAACATAAAGTATTAAAAAAAAAATTATTATATAATGAGAGTAACATAAAATATTCTTAAAGATTAATAAACTAAACTCATTTATAATATTTATGAGCTGATACATCATGGCATATTAATATTTATGTGCCTTGTTGTGTCACATGTTGACAATGACCTTCAATGAATCATACCATACTAACTCTATAAACTTAAAATCTCTAACATCGTATAACAAAAATATACGAGTCATGTTTAACACAACTCATAATTTTAACAATAGGTCGTGCCAAACATAATTTATATTATATCGAATCGTGTCATTTTATGAATTGTCCAATCCATTTGACATCATTAATTATAACATAATATATTTATTTAATATTAAATAAATACTATACAAATAAATAAATTGTAAAATTTAGTCACATATCACATTTTTAATTATTTTTTTCTATTCCTTAAAAAGTATATAACAATCTACTTATTTTTCTTTTTTGATCAGAAATCAAACACATCCAACTGAATTTAAAAATTCATGAACATGATAAAGTTTTTATTAAAAAAAACTACTTACTGGGAACATTATGAAAATTAAATACTAGGAAAGTGCAGGTTAAGAAGAAAAACAAAAGCAATGGCTTATTTCAGGAAATCATATTTGCTTTACTGATAGTAATTTATATATATAAAAAAAGAAAAGACAGCAATTCCCTTTCTAATTTTCTTGTCAAATCCTCTCGATAACAAAGTGCGATATCTCCCGCCGTTCCAGTTTATCTTCGCACTAAAACGTTGCGTTTTACTGTTCTTTTATTCATGAAGTATGGCAATTGGAAAATACATAAAAACTCGAGTGGTGGTGCGGGGAATCAAACCACGTGCCCCTCGCATGCCAATCGACCGCTCTACCACTAGTGAACTCCATGAACTCTTTGAAATCTGGAGACTGACTCGAATTAACAGTGTGACAGAATTCTGTGTTGCAATCCTCTCTATTTTTCCAGCCCCAATCTCCTCCCATCTTCTATACATTCTTCCTATATGTTCAAAAATATAGCCAATATACCCTGAGCTGAGCATATATGTATTTGCAGAATTCACAAACAACTATCGTACGTATCCATGCAGAGAGTAAAAATAAATGGATCATCTTGCTGGGGCCTATAACGGCGAACCTTACAGCTACAGCTAGTCCAGCCTTTACTATTTTGTTTGTAAAGAGAATCCCATCCCATGCTTCAGCTTTTCATTCTTGATTCTTTTCATCAGATTAAAGCCTTAATCTTACTCTAGAAAAGATAATAAATAATTACGAAGAAAAATTGAACGCAAAAAAGAACATGAAATTTATAATGATTCATCCGCTTGCAGCTGCTGCAAATTTTCACTAAAATTACAAACCATTGATGGTACTTTAACCATATGTTATAACATATAGATTTGTAGATCTATCACTAGACTAGACTTAAAAGTTATTATCAATTTTTTTTATTTTGGTGTAATTAGTCACCTCATTAAATCTGTATTATTTGAAGAGAAGTCCCAAAATTAATTTAAGTATCTTAAATTATAGATTATAATTTACGAAACTAGATTTTAGATCCCGGAATGCAATTACGTGTGAAAAATATTATAGTACCCTTATAGCTCTCGTCGAAAGGATGGTACCAGTTTGATTTCAAATTATCTAAACTTAAGATATTTTTATAACTTTACCATAACTTAATTACTGAAAATTGATCTTAAATTTACTCTAATAGTTTGGTAGTAATTTAAGATAATTTTTTCACCTCAGAAGTATTCATGGAGATTAGTGTTTTACTCTAAAGAGTTTTCGTCGTCAGATTCATTAACATATTTTATTCAAAAAAATAATTAGTAAAATCCTCCAATAATTTGATAAGATCTATTTGATGCAGATCTCTTAATAGTTTGATGAGATTTCATTATAAACTTATTTTCAAAAAATTTATTAAACCTTCTAATAATTTGATAAGATTTAATTTAAGATTCAAATCTTCCAATAGTTTGGTAATATTAAAATAAAATATATATTTTTTATTTTTTCATAAAAATTGATTTATAAAATTCTCCAATAGTTTAATAAAATTCATAAAAATTTAAATTTATGAAAAATTTTCCAATAGTTTGGTAAGATTCATAAATTTATTTTGAAAATATTTTTTGTTTTTTTAATAAATAAAAAAAATAAAATTCATAAAGGTATCTAAAAAATAAATTGTTCAATTAAAAAATTGAGTAAAATAATAATTAAAGGATAAATAAATAAAAATCTTAAATAAAATAAATAAAAATAAAAACAAAAAATAGAATGAAAAATAAATAAATACTTACGATCGGATCAGGTTTTGTACGTGGGCGACACACAGGTTAAGGGTTTTTCCCGAAATGGCATCAGTCCAGTCTGATATAAAAGCCCAAATTCTTTTGTTTTTCTTTAGGAATACCCAACTCCCTCTCTTTCTAAAATGTTTTCTCTCCAACCATTCTCTAGGAATGCCAAGAAATTCAAGCCAATTTCCAAGAAATGGTGAAAAACCCAGAAAACGATGGGAGTTCCAGATTTCGACCGCCGTAAACTTCAATCTTCTACTGAAAAATTCAAGCAATTTTCCAAAAAAAAAAACCAAAAATTTTTTTCCAAAAATCTCCCAAGAAATAAAAAAAAAATCACTCAAATAGAAATCCAACACCACTGAAACATTCAACCCAAAAACCTCATCAAAATTTCAAGATCAAATATGGTTCAAAAATAAAAGTTCTAAAATAGTACCAAAAACCCAGAAATCTTTTCATGCTAAAAAATGCTATGATCTTTTTATCAATTTTCTCAATCCTCTCTTTATGTCTTTGTATGGTTTTGGGCACGATTTATAGGGTTTTTCATAAGAAATCTTATGGATTTCTTATTCAATAACAAAGATTGAATCTATCATATACAAATTTAATCCCCTCTTGATTTTTTTTTTTTAAAAATAGTTCAATCATCAATATCATTTCCCATTATTTAGTTTCTTGTTTTACATAAACTTGATTTCTAGGATTGAATCCCACGGAACAGATCGCAAATTCTTAATTTTTTCCTTTTTATTTATTTTTAGCTTTTTATTAAAAAAATAAATAAAATAAATAAATAATATCAGCTGGGCCAAAGCTTGTACCCAAATAGGCTACCTACTAGGCTTAAAGCCTAAACTAGAATAAAAACTATATATTGGGCACAAAACCCAAATATTAACCAAGATAGGTCTATTCGAAACCCAAAAGACCCAATAAATGCTACCGAAGCTTAACAATCTTGACAAAATAAAAACCAAAAATTTGGAACCATACCCCTCTTTGCACATCCTTGTGAAGCAAAAATGATGTAAATACATAAACAACCATTATGTTCAGGTTTAAAAAATGAAATTATCTGTATCAAGTCGAAGTTCAAAATTAAATAACTTGGACAAAGCCAAATTTGAATATGAAAAATGACCAGACTGAGCCAAAGTCAAAAGTGATCGAACTCTACCAAAATAAAAAATAAAAAATGAAGACGACAGGGACTGAGTCATAAATAAAAAAATTGAATGACTTGAATCGAGCCAAAGTCGAAAATGAGTGATTAGGATTAAACCGCAAGTCAAAAAATAAATGGTTTAGGCTAAGCCAGAATAAAAAATAAGTGATCGAGATTGAATTGTAAGTCAAAAAAATAAATGATTTGAACTGAGCCAAGGTAAAAAATGATTGACCAAGATTAAACCACAAGTTAAAAAAATAAATGATAAAGACCAAACCAAAACAAAAAGTAAGTGACTAGGACTAAACAGTGAGTCAAAAAAATAAATGATCTAAACTGAATCAAAATAAAAAATAAGTGATCGAAATTAAACCACAAGTTAGAAAATAAAATGACTTGGATCAAGTTAAGGTAAAAAAATGACTAGGTACGAGTCTAAATAAAAATATGAGATCAAACGATCTTTAAAATAATAGCCATAAATTTTAAAGCTCATGCCTGAAAGTCTTATAGATCAAATTTAGAGGGTTTCGAGAAAAACTTTTCTAAAATAGAGGCCTTACAATTTAGACAATGTTATCAAAACCACAAGTTTAA